CAAAACTTGCCAAAAGTCGCCCGCGATTTGTACCTAAGAATGCAAAACAAACTCTTAAACGATTCCGAAAACAAATTGCCTGAGAATTGGATGTCCGACTCGGATGACGACGAGGACGGCGTGATGGCCGCAGCCCTCAAGAACGTGCAGCAGTCGGACAAGTCTGGCGGCAATATAGACATCAGTAAAATGATTTCGTCGATTCGCAACTCGAGCACCGGGACGACGGCTGCCACCCAATCGCCAAAACACGAGTTCTGGCAGAACCTGTTGAGCGGGATTCACATGACAAGCGCCGGCGGTTCGCCCTCTGGTAACAGCACTCCTCCGCGCACTGGCAGTGACTATAGGGACCCACGACTCAAGAGACTGATGTCGCCGCAGATCGACTCGACTCCGGCCGTCAAGATATGCGACCCTAACGTCAAAATCGAGTACAAACTGTTGCCAATCAAAGCCCCGGACATCGACTACTCGACGTATGTGTCTATCTATAGGATCGACGCACGCCTTAAGAACGACCCGCGACTCCAGAAGTACTTCTCGAAGTTGGAGTCCTCAGGACTGGAGAGTCTGTCGCGTATAGTTCCGCCGCCTCTCAAGACACCGCCCGTCACACCAATCAGTTTCCTGATGTCGAAGAAGAGGTCCGAGAAGGAGAAGTCCGATTCGGCCAACACTTCCAAAGCTGAGAAGACCATTAAGACGAGACCCGAGTCGCCCACATCTCTGCCCCCATTGCCACCGCTCACGATATCTCCATCCAAGTCGGCGCCCATCGCAGGCATTATCCCTCCCTCTCCGCCACCCATTATGTCACCGCTGGAACTCATATCTTCGAGACCGACGTTTACTGTCAGTCCCGCCTCTGAGTCCACGCCAAACATAAAGGTTGAGGACATCGACGCATCCATCGCCGACACGACTCCCAGTCCTCTCACTATTAGAACTGTTATTAAGAGTGAAGTGAACGACAGGTTTGACGCCATCTATGCCCTCAACGCCGACCCACCCGTCGGCCTATAATTTGAATACAATTCTCGACACAAAAGACATTAAATTAAATCAAAAACACATTTTTTATTTAGATTAGACATTACTTATATCTCATAGTTATGTAATATTTTTTGTTTGCAACCAATTTATACGGTAATGAATTGAATGTATAATAACTAGACGTTTTGAGAGATTGATTGAAAAGGTTTTATAATTATATTATAATTGACTGTAAATATTGTGTAATTTGTTTATATTCAGTGAACAAATAGTTGATAATTGTATTAATTATTGATTAATTCGTAAAAAATTAAATTAAATAATTTAATAAGTAACTAAAAAATAATACACTTTTTTAAAACAATTGTTCCAATTATTGATATTTTAATATTAGATTTCTCCAGAATTAGCCCTAAAAATGTCGGATAAAACATAAAATCACTTTTCATTTATTATAAAAACCGAACTCATTATATGAATTCAAAAATTAACTATAATTAAGATTTACATAAGATTTTCAATTCAATCGACAATCATTGCAATAATCGGTTCACACCTCTGATCGGATGCCAACCACACACTCACTCTCTCTTATAATGACAGGTCATATGAAACCATATTTTAGGCTAATTTTGACGATTTGTTAATGGAATAGTAATTAAATACATAATTAGGCGAACCCTAAGAACTCATATAAGTCGAGTGATGAGTATCACGGAGTCCGGTGGTCTCAGTGGCGGCCCAGGGATCGCCTCCCGATCCGGGCGCCGGCATCGCTATTGGAATTGACTGCTTGTCGGCCCAGGGGTCGGCTGCCGCTGGCGCTTGCGGTTGACTAGTGATGGGTTGGCTGACGTTGGTTTGCTCTGTCGTCTCCTCTCCCCATTCATTCTGTTCATACAAATGACAATCAAATTAATTATCAATTCATTAATGCATTACTAAATCACAAACAAAACAAATTTTCTCGATTACAATGAAGCAAACAAATAGAGTACGAGTTTTGTGTTGCAAATGAATTACTGCACAAACGTGTGACCCATAAACTCATGTCTAAATTCTGAACGCTATTTGATAACAGAATTCAATTATATTACAAAAAATCTGCCAAAATATGAGTCACTTGTGTTTTGCCTTATGTTTTACTTTATTAATTTCAAACTAATTTATTGATAATTTCTCTGCAATTAAAAGAATGTTTATTGGGAATTTGTGTTATACAGTTACCATTAACAACAGGTACAGTCAATAAATCTCTAATTTCTATTCATCAAAGTCTAGATATTTATTAAATATCCTTATATTTAGTTCCTTAATATACTTTTTATGATTGGCAATGATTGTTATTTTAAATATACTTTAGTTACAAAAATTATTCTTACGGTAATAAAAAACGGAAAATCGATAACAAAAAAATGTGCACAAATTTGCACACAAAATAAGCGTATAATTTCATAAATTATTCACTAAACAAAAAGGTAACGGAAATTACAAAACGTTTCTATGATAATAATTGATATAAAAAAGTGCTTTAAATTAAACGACAACTGAAGTAACGAAAAAACAAACCTTTTTTAAGTTAGAGGTGTCGTCCTCTTCGCCGTCCTATTGGGTCCGCACATGAAATACAAAAACAATTATCGTAATCACAAAACCAAACAAATCTTTATTGTATAGTTAGCGTTAAGTCTAACAAGAATTTGGCACAATATTCTACAGTATTGGTAGGGAAAGGGTGGACACTGTCCAGGCAGTACTGACCAGATCGGGGACGTAGTCTTCTTCGGGATGTTTTGGTCGACATTTGCCGCAACAGAAGTTGAAGCAACAGCACAGACAACAGCAACAGTAGCAACACGTGACGATCGCAGTGCACAGGAATATGCCTTTACACCAACCGCTCGTCAAAACGAAATACGTGTTCACATTCTCTTCGCCGAACTGCTCGGCGATGTAGAGCCCGAGAGAGCCGTAGTTGTCGTATATGTTGCGCTTCGTTACGTCCGACAGTATACTATGCGCTCTATTGATGTCTTTGAACTTCTCGGCCGACTCTAAGTTATCCGGGTTCTTGTCCGGGTGGAACCGCAGGGCTAACTGTACCACAAATGCACAAATGCAAATATACATATCCATTAGTTTAAGAGTTTATTGAATACCAGTCCCGCATTTTAACAATTGGTTAGTTAAATGGTACGGTATGGACCGTATGGTTAGTTTGTGTTACGGTAGTAGGGGAATGTTAAATGGCACATCATTTCTCAATATAATTATGTCTGTACTAGGAACTTTTAAATATTTAATGTTCAAGTCTAATGAATGAATGATTTGGTTTTCAAACTACGATACTTATAAAATGTGTGCTAAATATTGACACAAAAAATAAGTTCATTATAAATGTTAACAAACTCTGCAATGTATTATTAATTGACTCAAAATTAATTAAAAGCAATTAATTTGCAATTTTGCTCATCAATTAAAGCAGTAAAGTTTACTGAGAAAACGGTGCAAATAATTTGTAAATCTCTATTAAATTATATGAAGTGTTTAGTCCCCATAAAATTAATGTTTTAGTTACCGTATAATATTTTAAATTCTTGATATTTTAAATTAACATAACATTCAGTGAATGGGTTATGGGATGGAAGAGAATGGCATTTATTAAAACAAATATAATTAGAAAAATAGCAACAAATGGATAGCTATTATAAAGTCTATTACGGGTAATATAAACACTTTGAAGATAAAAATCGATTGAATAAACAGTTGCTATAATAAGTACACTAAGATTATTACTAGATAATTGTCTCATTAGTGTACACAACAAATAAAAATACACACCGCTGCCTAATTGTCTAGTATACCCTGGTCACAATCAACACAATTACCGGTAATAATAATCTGTCATAAAAATGTATGAAATACACGTGCATTTGATGTTAAGTGTAATATTATACGACAGACATGTGATGAAAAATTAGTCATCAAATGACAATAATTAAGAAAATGATTGAATGATTGAACAGAAATGCAATTATCAGTAAAAGTATGAATCAATTACTCGACGGTAACTCTTCTTGATGTCATCGCCGGTGGCCGTCTTGGGAACGCCTAATATGATGTACAGCGAGTCACCGGTGGCCCTGTTATGCCAATTAAATGACAACAATTAGTGAACAGGGTTAATTAAAATGCAAAACAACTATAGTTATGATATAATGTTATAAATATTTGCATTATTTTTATAAATGATGTTCAAAACAATACTAACGAAAGCCGTCTCATAGGGTTGTTATCCATTGCCGTCATTATAACCGTGCGTTTATTATAATCACAATTAGCTCACAATTATTACAATGTCTTTGAGTTGACAACAGTTTACTAAATCATATGATTACGAGAACTGTGTTTACGATTCAATTCAATATTGATTTGTGTATTCATTCACTTGTTTATGGTTTGAAGTCTATGTGAGTCAACACTCACTACACACTCGTGGCTGACATTGGCTTTACTTTAGATAGTGTTATGTCTGATGGAGGGGTGGGTTAGCGCTTACAATGTAGTCTTTCAGGGTTTCTGTCCAATGAATGCTATGATTTTTACTACAAGGGGTTGTCGTGTATTCAAACAAAGTCATAGTTTTGTGAATGTGTTTCGATGGCTGACACAAGTGTGACCCAACTCTCAAACACTATGAGTCCAATGAATGCCCAAACCGTTTGAAATGTGCATTCAATCGATACATGCAATTCTGGACCACTTTTTATCGGCGCAACCTTTGAATGCATTTTTAATTTTGAACCAACAGATATTTTTGCCAATAAAATGGCTATATTTTTGTTATACATTTAACAGTGGTATTCATAGTGTCGACTTAAGTCTTAGCTGGGTCTCACATTTTAAGTAATTGCTCAGTTGGTTTATGAAACGCATTTAATCTGAGCTGCACCTTAAAACAACGTCTAACAGTGGTATTCATAAACAAATTGGATTTGAATCTGAGCTGGACCTTACATTGCATGTTAGCCCACTTGTCTAATCTCATTTCATAAAAGCATCTTAACTCTTTATTTGAACAATATCTTAA